ACTAGCATAAGAAAGCGTAAAAAATAAATTATTTTATTAAGAAATTTTATTTACAATTTTTTCATAGACGAAAAATGAACACAATCAAAAATAGTTTAAAAAACTACCAACTATGGGACGAGAATCGAACCACGGTCCATTATCACAGGAATATTCATCTATCGCTTTTAGGTCACGACTGCGCTTGTAAAATGATGGATATAAATCTGTAATTACGAAAGTAATGAAACTTTAATCGTACATATCTCAAAAACTATTGAGTAGTTGCCGCTATAATGATATATTTTCTTAAACTGCATGACAATATCTACAAACCTGCAAGGTTTCAACTAAATCGGTGACCCGAAGGATTTGCACACTCCTTGTTAGTCCAAAATAAAAAAAGAAATTATAATCGGAAAAGCTAGTTAGTATAAGAAACAATAACAATTACTCTTTATGAAATTAAAATATATTAACTTATTTCGAACTTGCATCAAAAATATCATGCGTGTTTAATGAGCAAACATTTTGTTAATAATTGTTTTACTATCTGAAAAAGATTTATTCATTATATATTATCTGTTTCTTTCTAAAATTGTGTAGCAATATTTCAAACCATATTACTGCATATAGCTTCAAAAATTACGCTTACATTTCAAAAGCTATTAAGTAAAATATATTTGTATTACTGACATGCGCATATTTCTGAAATAAATTGAAGGTTATATTCATTCTTTACGTGATCGTGACGCAATACGTACAGGTAACCTCAATAGAATAAGTTTTATTTTTAATATATGTTATTATTTTATTTATATTATACTTTATTGTAAATATATACAATATATCACAAATACATCGTATTTATTATATACAGGTAAACAGATTACAGTTAATATGTATTAAAATAGCCATGTTTACTATATTATCTATAGTTAATATCCAGTGTAATTTAACTATTCAGTGGTAACTCCAGTATTATCCAGTGTTAATTATTTTTAATGTTTTATATTTTATAAGAATCTTATATGAATCTGAAATTCATATAAATGACAAATACCTCTTCATATTTTTCTTTATATTATATAATTATTTGATTATTTTGTTATTACAATTTTATAGTTTTAGATAATTCATTCACAATGGCATCTTCTGAGACTGGTGGTGTAAAAGCAATGTCAATTTATGGCCGTGTAGTTAGAGAAAGAGAACGTTTAATTGGTATGACGGTTGAAGAACGCGCATGGAGGGCAAAGTTTGTGAAAAGCCAAATTCTTTCACCAGAAGAACCAATAATTCCAAAGAATTATTATAAATATTTTAATAATCCAATACGTAGATTTTTCATGGCACCTGTACTTAAATTTGAAGGTCTATTAACTCCTTTTATGGTAAGATGAGACATTTATAAATAAAAAAGTATTCTCTTTGTTTCTCATTACGTTTGATTATAGGGTAGCAAATGTGCATATGTAACACGAAACACAATAGTAGGAGTGTGTGCTATTATCAGTGTACTTCATATTGCATACTATTATTATAGATACAATACAGCTGTATGTTAGAAAAACTTTTCAATATATATTGTAAATATAATATGAAAACTACAAGTAAAATGTAAAAATTTTTTTCATTTTAGACTTGGGTAAGGAAAGCATGTTGGATACCAATAAGAGTACCTTTTTTTGAACGTCCAGGATGTACAAATAATAATGGTCTTGTACGTCCAAAGCAGTTTGCTACATTAGGTTTTGAAAATTCTGTTCTATAAAAGTTATTGTAATTATGGTTATGTAGTATTTAAATATAATAAAATAATGATTCGAGTGTATATTGTGAGTATATTTATCATTTTATTTAATAGATGCTTATAAAAGGTAAATTTTTTTTAAATTAAATATCTTTTTCAGTTTACTTACATATTATTTATTTTTACTTAATTAAACCAATGTAATACATATAAAATAGGCTTAAATAAGAGAAGTTATTTAAAATATTGTAATATGATAAAGAGTAACATAAATGATAGAAAATTCATAACACTTATGTATAAAATTTAGGTATATTTGTAATTAGTAATTATTATATACATTCATTTAAGAAATCCTAATATCTGTCTTTGTCGTCCAAGTTGATTTTCTTCTTTCAATGCTTTCATAAGACCTTTATTTAATTGCAATCCTATATCTTTACCCATCTAAAATATAATTTTTTTTACCATTAATAGGTAGTCATACATAGTAAAATATATAATTAGATCTGTATTTTATTGTATATAACTTCTATATATAATATAACATCATCATTACTTGTAACATTTTGTTCAAAGTATTAGGTTGAATGCTTCCATAACCCAATTTAATGATTGATGAAATTTTACCATTTGGTAATGTAGACACGGCTATACTACTTGCACTACAGACTTCTTCTTCTGAAGTTGGATCCACAATATAATTATCACCAATCTGTAAAAAAAATTTCAATAATGATTGAAAACATCTATTTAAACATCATTTTCATATTTCGAATATAATATCAAATTTTTCTTGTTTTGTAATATTTGTAATATAAAAGTTACAAAATAATATAAATTGATAAAAACATACTTTACACAATGTTACAATGATTGGATAATTGCTTGTGTCTAATTGAATGCAGTCATAAGAATCATCTGATAACTCAATATCTGGTTCTCCACCATCAAGAGCTGCAGCTGTAATTTTTGGTATTTCAGTACTATTTAATGCAGCTTTAACTGCAATTCCTACTGCATCAAAAAGATTGCCACCACACTGAAGAATCTATATATGTATATTATGTTTTTGAAATTATTGTTTTTATGTAAATGATTTAAATATGTAAGCATTATTTTATTTACCAATACATCAACATATATTTTCCAACATTTTTTGTTGGGTAAAATACATAATGTTCTTAAATCAAAAGCATTACGCGTTTGATAAGCAACTGTTAAAGTATTACTTATTTCAGTTGCTAAATCATCACCACCTTTACCTTCAAATGCTGGAGTTGCAGTGGCAGAACTAAAACATAATGAACTATGTGAAATAACTAGCTAATGCATATATTCCTTTTTTTTTAATTAATACAAAATTATTCATTTTTACTTATTCATTAAATTATTAATATATTTTAATTTCTTGAATTTTTGATCTTATATATCCAGTAATTATGTAACATAACATACCAGTCAACAAAAAATTCTAATTTCCCTTCATTTGGTGTATCAGCATAAGGTATGTCAAGTTCTACTTTAATACCAACGAGTATATCTGTGTTTCCTATGTGCAATCTTGCTGATCCATGAGTTTGTGGCATTAATTTGGTTTCAATTTCCATTGGTCTGTATTCACAACGTCGTCTACCATCATTTCTAAAGTCTGCCTTACAATTATAAAATCAAATAAATTACACAGTAACAAAATTATATAAATTACAATAACTTTTAGTGTATAAATAAATTTACATAAAAACTTATATCAACTTACATCTATTCCATGAAGAATGAAAGTTTTTTCACCAGAACTTAAAACAACTTCTGCCATTATAAAATGCTTTATGTTTAAGTATTTGAAATAAATTTAAATCTAATTTTACGTCAATAATTCAATAATAAAAAATAACAATTAATAATAAAAAATAGCAAATAATCGCATACGTAGTATTTATCTTCCCGTATTTGATCATAGATACATAATTAATAAAGTTACCTAACCTGTAAGTGATGCAACTTTTGTATTAACGACAATTCAATGCAATAAACACGTACACTGTTTGTATACTATCGTGTACACTATTTAGGTACATTGTAAAATGACGTAAAATATTTAACAATGTTTATGATACTTATTATCAAAGATTAATTTATTTATAATAAAACAAATGCTTTATGCGTGTTCATAAGTAAATGAAAAAGTAATATGTACACTTTTTACGTAATCTATAGTTTACTATTATATTCTCTAGAAATTGATAAACAAATAAATATAAATATATATATATAGAATTTAAAAGATTTTTATATTATATTTTATGAGCAAATATTTTAAAATTAATATATTTTTCATACATAAATGAATATATTTATTTATAAATTTTTACAATATTTCATCAATAGTTTGTTAAAATAATATATTATTAAGTAGTAATATATTTAATATTTTATACAAATTTCAAAATGTTATTTTAAGTATTTTATATATTTATGATATAAGAATTTAATTTTTACGTAGTATATTTTGTATTGCATCTTTTGCTTTATGAACACCAAGACGAAAGTGTCCGCATTCTGGTCGAATTCTCATACCACGGTAATAATATACAAGACTCATTTCAAAATCACCAAGATGATATAAAGCTTCTGCTTTACAATACATTGCGTTAGCCATACTGGTATTTTTCATTCTGCATTGTAATGCATTTTCAGCATCTTGTAATGCTTTTTGAGGCTCTCCTAGTAAAAGATGACATCTACTTCGTGCTATTAATGCATTATTATCATTTGGTTCAAGATCCAGGGCCTGGCAGGAAATAATAGTATTCATTACATCATTTAATTACATTACAACTAAAATATAAACTGTTCATAAATTTTTAATTTCTAAAAATATTTAATAAAAAAATGTATAAATCTTAATACCATTTTGTTAGTTATTTATTGTTACTTCATACAATTTAACAATATGAATCATCTTTATCAATTTATTTAATAGAAGTAATTTCCTAATTGATTATATGCAACAAAATTTTTGAAACTATACGATATAATATTACTTTCAATTTTACAATTCCTATAATTCTTTAATTAAACTATTGTACTTGTTTTTAGCGATATTTAATGATGATAGTATTTATTAAAATTAGAAATACATAATATATAAAAAAAATAAGACGTGGCGTTCAAAATAAATAGTGCAAAAATATAAAATTTATTCTCTTATCTTGTTTCAATTCAATTATAAAAAGAAATTTTTGTTTACTTTTCGAAAGATTATTCAAAACCCCTGTGGGAAAATTGTTAGAAGAAGATACTATTCAAAGCTAATTAAATGATTTAAAACAGATGTCTCAAATTACTGTAAAATCAATTTTTATAAGATATATGTAACATAAACTAAATAAATTATTAATTTCATATAAATACATATATACTTATGAAGAAAAGAAAAACATACAACATTAAAGAATAAAAATATATTCGATTCAAGAAAAAGTCAAAAAGAACCTTATTAATACAATTCATTGCGACTTTGACATCACCAATTCGCATTTCTCGCAATCCTAATGCCAACATAGTGGTTGGTTCAGTATCTTCGGGCAATTGTAAATTGCGATCTTGTTTCTGTTTCATTTTTAACGATTGTTTAATATCTCTAGTTCCCATATTTACTGCGGCAGCGCGATCCTTATCAGTGTATACTTCTTCCTGGCGACGAACACCATTATTCTGTCGACGTCATTTCTTTCTCTTTCGAATACTCATTTCTGGTTCAACTGATAATAATTTACTAGATTTGTTTTTCTGTTGCTTCTTATTATTTTTTTTCTTCCTGATGTCCTCATCAATTCGGCTTTCTTTATCAATGTCATCAACAGATTCTGTGTCGAGACAAGTTCCCAAAGAGGATGGCGCTTTATTGAAATTTTCCACATCTTCGAACTGTTTTGAATTTGAAGTACTTTCTACGGGCACTCGGACATAGCTTTGCAACAAATCATGATGATGCATTGTTGGATTCAGGATACACATAATTTTTGAATCAATAAGATTCTGCGCGCTTGTAGACACTGATGCAGTTACTTCACCCATTTTTTTTTTTTTTACATCTGATTTTGAATAGACGTTTTAAATATTTTTTTATTAACACAATTAATATTTTTTAAAATTAAGAACTAATAGCAGTGAATAAGAAAGGGGGAGAAAATTTCTTTATGTTAATAGTATTTTCATACCTATTTTGTTATTAATTTATATAATTTATATTCCTTTACTTTATAATTTTAGTAGTGAAACATTTTAATTTTACTAACAAAATATCTGAAAAATCACTAATATTTTCAATTTTTTTCTTGTAAATAAAAATCGGTGGAACGGATACACTTGGCGCGTTTCATTCACGAGACAACTTAGAATGTAAGGTGCTTTCGTGTGCTTTGCGTGTCGAATAGACGTGTGGTTATCGACACCTTTTCCAGATAGCTTGTTTCCTTAGAAACAGTCAACAATGCGGGTAAATTCGGCGTACGAAAATCTCAGATCATATATGAACAAAGGAATTTGAAGTTCCCTTAGTACTTGCCAGGAAGCATTTAGTCTAGTGATTGGTAGTCTATTTCAACGAAATACGTAGTATGTGATACATTTCTCTAATAGAATTTGAGCCTTAGTTTGAAATTGCAGAATCTGAAGATTAAAGGTATTTTAGAAAATCTTTTTTTGAAAATTTTTATTCCCTTTCCCAAAAAAGGAAGAAAAAAAATGATTTATCCTTTTAGAAATTATGTTAATATGTCTTTTATTACTTATATAAAGAATTTTTATTAATTTATAAAAAGTAGAATATATTTTTTTATGAATGTGGATAAAATGCTGATAAAACCTTTGTGAATATTATTATTTATTTAAAATGGAATACATCTTTTATTTCAAGAACAAGTTTTTCGTAAATTATTAATTACATTATTTGGGAATGATAAATTGTTTAACTTAATTTTATTGATACATTTCACAACTTGTAAGTATTATTTTGTAAATCAAAATATATTTTTTTCATTTTTGAAAGCACTATTCAGTGCATTATAATACACATCTGTTAAGTTTTAATTCGCTCTTCATTATAAATTTGATCAGTAACACTTTTAATATTTGTTTTTTTATAATTAAAAAGTTCTTTTATTATTTTCATAATTTTGTAATAGTTCTTCAGCTGTTATTAAAATATTGGGAAATGCTTATCTTAATAGAATGACTCAGTGTAAAATTTAAAGAATGAGCTATTGCAATAAATGTCGTATTTTTACTGGTACTGTATTTATCTTATAAAGGTATAACATACAACAATGTGATCATACTGTTTGACGCTATAATAATTCAAGGAATACTTTTCTTATAAAGTAAATGATTTCTTTTGTTATAAATATTACATTTATTTATTAAAATTATTTACAAAAATCAGTAAAAGTAGAAAAGTAATCAAAAAACCAGGTCGAAAGTTATTGTTTTAATAAGGTTCGAGAAAATTAATGATATAACAACATTCGTTGTAGATTTCATTAGTATTATATATATAAATATATATTTTTCATTACAGTACATTATATTACATAACGACGATGAAATAGTCGAAATATTAAGATGACACTTGACGCATAATTACTAGTTTATAATTATTATGATATAATATGTAATATTTCAATTTACTAGAATATTGACACTTCACAATTCTACACATAAGATAAGAATAAATAATTCTTTCTATAAATGCATTTTTAATATTTATTTAAATCTTGTAAAAATTAGCAATTATATAAACATTGATAAATAAAACTATTCTTCGTAATCCAATCCAATTTTTAAATAATTATACTATTGCATTATTATTTTTCTTTGATACAATTTAGTATTTTATGTATTATATCTGATCTTAACATTCATAATTAATTATTCATTTTTAACTAATGATATTTTTAATGATATATTTGTCAAACATGAAAAAGGATCATTTTACATTTTTGTACGACTGTAAATATGCAATAAAAAATATTTCGTAATTTAATAAACTTACTTTATTATATAGGTACATGGCTTTATAGTAATTTCCATTTTTTACGTGAACCATTGCTTCGTTCACTAATAATTTTTTTTCTATTAAAGCAAAATGTTTCATTTGCGATTTCACTTTGCGATGATTTATCATACTGGTTTAAAGCCTATAATATATTTTGTTAAATGCTTAGTTATATACCATATGTAAGTAAAAAAATATGTGATTAATCATATAAAGATTTATATATTACTAAATATGTTATTTATTATATTGTTCTAGTCGCAAAAATAAAAATAGCTTTCTAAATATAAACCTAACTCCGCCTAGTTTGCATATTATACAATATGCCATATAATCATAAACATACTTCAAATTAATCAATATCGCGAGCAAATTTCAGTTTTAATTTTTATCAATTCAAATTACTTTAACGAGATGATAGAAGTATTAAGCACTTCTTTTATTTTTGTTGGGATCAAATATCAAGATAAATACTGCATATTACACTTAAAAAATTGCAAATTAACTATCGACAATAAATTAGAATAAATCTTATTAACAATAGATTGTAGATGAATAATAAGTAAAATTTCTTAAATTTTATAGTGCATGTAATTAAATAATTTTACATTAATTATATTCTTTTTTGAGTTAATAGGAAATATAATTGATGAATTTTACATATTTACTTAATTTCAATCAATGTATGTATTTTTATTCATACTTTCATAAATAATTTATTCAAATAATAACAATAGAAATATATCTATAACGGAAAAATACATATTAAACAATTATTTTTTATTAATATCTCATATCACTCACCTCTAATTTCCAATCTTCGTATTAAGAAGTAATTGTTTTAGTTGTGTTGATTTTACATTTCTACACAAAACAGAACACATTTTCATATTAGATCCTTTCGACGTTCATGGTGGGCAAGTTCTTGATCAATTAGATGACATAAACTTTCTGGGGCTATCTTTATTTCTTAACTTATATACGATTGGCACTTTTCCGTCTATACTTTTTGTATTCTCTCCCTACTCCTGGTAATAAAAACTAATCAATATGCCAGTAGTAACAGAGGGCAAAGATGACTACCTTTTTAGAAGTTCCTTTTCTCATCAAGGAAAACCTACTTTTGTTATGATATTAATGTTATAAACTTTTTTTAGTATTGTATTTTTAATTAGTATTTTTTAAATACTTTTTTAAAACAAATAAATTAGTAATAATAAAAATTAATTATTATTTTTTGATAAAAACTTAAATTTCAATAAAAGAGATATTTATTATATAAGTAGAAATTCTATATTTGATATTATGTATACATAGAATTCTTTAAGATATTAGCTATAATAACTTAATTACATTGTTTAACATAAATTTTAATCTGTAACATCCATTGCGTAAACCTTGTAGGGTTTACTTTCCTGAAAATTAATCCATAATACAAATTACTCTATGAACTTTAGTTTAAAAACATCGTGAATTTTTCTAAAAAACGCACGATATTTGGCTAAAATGAAGTATTACATAAAAAGGAGTGTAATTAGAAAAGGATAGGGTACATTCGGTAGTGAAAAATCACGAATTATCAAGTTTCTGTAATTAATTCGTGAACTTTTATAATTGAATCGCAAAGCTGGAACTACAGGCAACATTCTTATATAATTTTCGTACATAATTTGATGGTAACTAGTTTGTTATTAATAATTATTTGATGGCGTACGTGACTACATAAGAACGATCGGACTGATAGCTCATTGAAATATTTAATTCTGAACAAAACTAGAAGTAAAATATGAACAAAAATGATATATTAAAATGCCCAAGGATATTGTTTCTATAATGTGTGCATGTAATTCATGAATTAATCGCATAGAAGTTAGTAACTAATGGAGAAAAATAGCATCATCTTAGCAATAATTATTAATAATTAATTAATTAAGGAAAAATTAATAAACGCATAAGTTATTGTAAATATATATTTGCTCTTGACAATGATTAGTATACATTTTATTCAGGTAGGAAGGTAGTAATACATATTTATTTATTTTAAGCTTTTGACTTATTTAGTAATTCTAGTGTTAAACTGAACCATATTCTTCAGTAGTACAGAAATTATGCTACATCACTTATTTAATTACATTGTCAATACAAATCTTAATCTGTAATATTCGTTGGGTTATTCTTGTAGAGTCTACCTTTCTGAAAAGAAATCCACAAACAAAATTGTCCTACCACTCTCAAATTTCGAAAAATACAAGTTTTTCTAAAAACGCATGATTTTTAAGTGAGATCTTTTTCCCGTCCACTTTTCATATGCAGTTGTATTTATTGCTTTTGTAGGACTTCTATTTTCTCTCATCTCTCCAATGGTATGTTCTTCTACATTATCGTATCAAAGTCTGTGTGTTATTCCACTCTGTTTCTGCTGCTGCAAGATACTTTTACAATTTCTGTAGTGCTTCAATATTTGATTCTGTAAGATATATCATCACAAAATTAATAAAATCTAAGATTGTCATCACCTACCTATCTCTGTCCCATGTTTCTGGCTCTACAGACCCACATATATCAGAATGTATTATTTCTAGAGGCCTTTTCGCCTTTCTTCTTGTCTCTACAAATGGAGGCTTCGATTGCTTTACTTCAACACACATCCTGCATTCTCCAATTCTTGCCCTTAGTTCTCTTTTCGTTAATTTCATACCCAATGCTTTTTTGGACAACTCTCTCATGAATACAATACTTAGGTGGTTCAATTTTCTGTAGCACTCCACCAACTTCTTATTCCTCTCTACTAGTAATGCTCTAGCCTGTATTTTTTCTTTGGATTCTTCTACACTATAAAGTCCATTATTACATCTCTTTCTTACTAATATTTTTACTTCATTCTCATAAACTATTACTTCATTTTCCTTGAATATGATCTCACCATCATTCCTAGTTATCAGATCTAATGACAATAATTTCTGTCTAAAAAGTAGAACACACAAATATTATTTCTTTCCACTGATCCAATTTCCATAATTATTTCTTCCTATTCTTTAAAATACTTTACTTTACTAACCACATGATTCTTTGTTCCTGAGTCCAAGAAACATACTCTCTGCTTTTACATTTATCTCCTTTATTTCCTTCATATTCTTAAAAAAACAATCCAAATGATTTTTTCCAAATGATTAGACTACTTACATGTCTCACATGGAGGATGCCTCTTCTTTTCAACCTGATCTTGAAAATATTTTGGAATTTTATGCCAATCTGCCACAACTAAAACATTTTATTTCTTTGTTACCTTTGTTGTCGTTCCAACATGCATGTGCAAGATGTTTAATTGAGTTGCATTTGAAACATTCTTTTTCCTCAGCTTTGAAGGCCACATTTTCATATTGATTTGCTTTTACCCTCATGTCCTCAGCTCTCAGTCAAGCAGTGAAATAATCTATTGTCTTTTCTTCTTCCTGTAATAACTTTCCCAGGCAGTTGCAAATAAATGATACTTGCCCAGCAACATAGTCAAGATTTTAGTTGCAAAGTATTGTTTCTTTTATCTTACTTCCCAATGCATACAATTTGAAAACTTACCCTTTAGATATGCAACGGTGGGTTAAAATATCATGTCCACTTTCGCCATGTGCTACAGTCCCATTATTCCTACTGCTTTTATAGTTTCCAAGTTCCTATGCATATTTCTACAGATTATTACTGTAAGCAACATTTACACTCTATATTCAATTTATCATTACCTTTCACAGCTATTATCAATTGTTCATTCTCTATCTCTTCAATGATCCTCATATTAGCATTTTGATGCCAGACATCTTTCTCTGTTGATACATATGGCGTCTCTTTCCTGTTGCTTGACTCCACATAACATGCATTTCCTCTTCTCAATACTATTACTCAAACTTTTCTCTTTCCTTTATAACCTCAGCTCCATCATTCTGAAACTAAACACATTAGCGATGATCAGCGACATTGACCATTGATATTAATATTTATTCAAGTCAGGAATACAACATACCTTTCTATCTCACTGTAGTCTCTATATCATGTTGTTATAAGAGGACATCGTCTAAATTAATTTTATTCCCTATTGTGCGCCTAAATCATCTTCAGGTATTGAATATTTATTTGGCCATCAAATATCTCTATCTTGTATGTCATATGGTTATCCAACATAGAAACAAGTACATATCGAACTTTACATATTTCTAATGCTGCTTCAATTTTTTCCCACTATCAAAAATAAATATAGACTTCTAATGGCTCCACATAAAATACAAATGCAAATAGAAATTTCCAAAAGCTAAATCACGAGAGATAACGACGCAGTACGACCTGTCACACACTCCCACTTTCGGCTCTGTAGTTCGAAAAAAAATCGCGAAAATCTAAAGAGAACCACTGATTCTATTAGAGGAGGGAAGGATCTATCGAGTGATATAGGAAAATCCTAATCCGAAACCGGATTATGAGAGAGATAAGCCACGAGAGATAACTACGCAGTACGACCTGCCACACACTCCCACATAAGGCACTGCAGTTCGAGAAAAAATCACTAAAATCGAAAAAAGACCACTGATTCTATTAGAGGAGCGAAGGATCTATCGATTGATATAAAAAAATCGGAATCCAAAACCGTATTATGAGAGAGATAAGTCACGAGAGATAACTACGCAGTACGACCTGTCACACACTCCCACATTCGGCACTGTATTTGGAAAAAAAATCACGAAAATCGAGAAAGAACCACTGATTCTATTAGGCGAGAGAAGGATCTATCGAGTGATGTAAAAAACTCCAAATCAAAAATTGTATTTCCAAAGAGTTAAGCCATGAAAGATAACGACGCAGTACGACCTGCCACACACTCACACATCCGGCACTGTAGATGGAAAAAAAATCGCGGAAATCGAAAAAGAACAACTGATTCTATTAGAGGAGGGAAGGATCTATCGAGTGATATAAGAAAATCCTAATTCGAAATCGGATTATGAGAGAGATAAGCCACGAGAGACAATGACGCAGTACGACCTGTCACACACTCCCACATTCGGCACTGTAGTTCGAAAAAAAATCACTAAACTCGAAAAAGAACCACTGATTCTATTAGGGAAAGGAAGGATCTATCGAGTGATATAAGAAAATCGGAATCCAAAACCGGATTATGAGAGAGATAAGCCACGAGAGATAACTACGCAGTACGACTTGCCACACACTCCCACATAAGGCACTGCAGTTCGAGAAAAAATCACTAAAATCGAAAAAAGACCACTGATTCTATTAGAGGAGCGAAGGATCTATCGATTGATATAAAAAAATCGGAATCCAAAACCGTATTATGAGAGAGATAAGTCACGAGAGATAACTACGCAGTACGACCTGTCACACACTCCCACATTCGGCACTGTATTTGGAAAAAAAATCACGAAAATCGAGAAAGAACCACTGATTCTATTAGGGGAGAGAAGGATCTATCGAGTGATGTAAAAAACTCCAAATCAAAAATTGTATTTCCAAAGAGTTAAGCCATGAAAGATAACGACGCAGTACGACCTGCCACACACTCACACATCCGGCACTGTAGATGGAAAAAAAATCGCGGAAATCGAAAAAGAACAACTGATTCTATTAGAGGAGGGAAGGATCTATCGAGTGATATAAGAAAATCCTAATTCGAAATCGGATTATGAGAGAGATAAGCCACGAGAGACAATGACGCAGTACGACCTGTCACACACTCCCACATTCGGCACTGTATTTGGAAAAAAAATCACGAAAATCGAGAAAGAACCACTGATTCTATTAGAGGAGAGAAGGATCTATTAATTGATATAAAAAAGTCCTAATCCAGAGACAGATTATGATAGAGATAAGCCACAAGAGATAACTACGCAGTACAACCTGTCACAAACTCCAACATTCGGCACTGTAGCTTGAAAAAAAATCGCGAAAATCTAAAGAGAACCACTGATTCTGTTAGAGGAGGGAAGGATCTATCGATTGATATAAAGAAATCTTAATCCGAAACCGGATTATGAGAGAGATAAGCCACGAGAGATAACTACGCAGTACGACCTTCCATATCCTTTCACTTTCGGCACTGCATTTGGAAAAAAAACGGAAAGAATCGAAAAAAGTTCGGTCTGCTGATTTGAGAAGGGTTTACTCTAACGAGTGATAATGAAATATTCTAACCGGAGCAGGAATTTCATCTATCTAATCGAAGGAAGGTAATAAGGTAATACGATTTCTCACGCACTCACACTTCCATCGCTATACGTCAAGAATGAACCATCGAAATTGGAGAAAATTAGCCTACTCATTAGGAAACAGTCTATTCTCTCTAGTAATATCGAAATATGCCAATGCAAGATTGAAATTTCAAATATCTAAACAACACGTAACGGCACAGCACGATATGACACATAGTTACACTTGGCATCACTTTATTTCACATATACATTGTCGAAATCGTCGAAAGATTGAGGAAAGTATTAAGAAACTCTCTGCTGCATTCAATGTTAATCCATATACCAGTGGACGATCGAATTCTGGAATGTACAATCGATGATACGTGACTATACTGTTGTATCATATGCTTCGCACTCACATCAGTTCATTTCTCACATGTTTCATTAGACGATTTTCTTTATATAACTTCACTTTTTTCCACATTCTGTGGTATATTACCACTGAAAACAAATGTTCACTGTTAGTTATGCTAGTTGTGGTCCTTTCTTAAATATCACGAAGATATTGCAAAAGTTGTTCCATGTTCCGAAATAATAACTGATATTGCATATTATTGTTATTGAATATTTATTTCTCCAGTTGCTATAATTAAAACACTGGTCAATGATAATACCACTTTACCAAACGTTTTGTTCAGAGACTGAAAGTTTCACTTTAACGTGCGTAAATATTTTACCATGTGTTACCAGCATGTTGGATTCGCGTCGACTAGAAATGTTCTGCGATTCTATGCCTCGTTTTCGCGGGAAGATGCTTTTTGTTAGAGATAGCCATGAGTATCGATATAGAATATCAAACGATGTCTTATATTTATTAATAACAATGATTCAAATACAAATATGTTTCTGTTATGAAAAGAACAAGTTAAAAAGTATTTAATTTCCACTTGAGAAAGATTATAAATTAATAAAATTAATTATTAAATTAATTATGAAATATGTTGTATAGTAATATATAATTGTTACTATTAGATTAGTACTACTGTTTTAAGAGATTTCATGTACCGTATTCCGATGTATCGACCAAGCAAAAGAAATTTAATGTTTTGCCTTGCCATCTATGATTTTCAGCTGGTAGTTCATAAATTTTAATCAAGGTAATCGATAAAACAGACAAGTACGTTTCTTTTTATTAGATCATTTAATGAAACAAGCCTTACATTATGTAAAATGAAATATTTATTATTAAAAATTTATGTTCATAATTTTAATTAAATCTAAATAAGAATAATTATTATCATTTTAAAAAGGTAAAGATACCCTGATACGGTTATATATCAATAACATGAATACTATAATTAAAAGAAATAAATGTTTAGAATCATACTATGAAAAATTATAAAAGATTAAAGATTATAATGTCGTAATTGATTATTCATATCGGCAGAAGATAACTTTATCTAAAGATATCGGTAAAATAGAAAGACGCTGTAATAAATTCACCGAGGCGCTCCATATCGTAGATAGAAATACTGATTTCAGGTAGTAACAAGCTAAAGGTGTTAGAGAAGTTTTGGCATTCCGTTAATTGTGACTAAAACAGCGTCAATAAAGTTTGTGATGTGTCTTTAGAACTTGTAAACATAATTGTGATTACGAACAGTATTATTACAAAAATAGAGAAGCTTGCTAAATATTAACATGTCTTCCCTCCAAAAGTCGATTTTGAAATCAAAATTACCACCGTCGGGTGTCAATTTTGGAATCGGCTCTAGGTTAGTTTCTTATACTTTCTCTAAATTGGAGATGTTGAATGAAATTTTATTAGAAATTAATATTTTCGTACAAGTAATTTAATGATAACAATGTTCTAATGTAAATTTAATAGAAAATTTTAAAAGCTATTATTGCCAAATAGTTTAATTTTTTCTAATCAACAGGATTAGCAAATCAAAGGGATTTCAACGTAAAAGAGATTACGATCCAGTGCAATGGATTCCTTATTTTGATCATTCACAGGATGTAAAAATAGGAGATGACACGTTTCATATTTACACTAAGGGTACAGAGGGTCCGACGTTAGTATTGTTACATGGGGGTGGTTACAGTGCATTAACATGGGCAGAATTTACTGTAGGTATTAATTATTAAATATACAAAGTGCAAAATAATTTGCATATCATGTATGTTTCAGAAATCAATTATGACTATGGTAGTATGTAAAGTTATGGCAGTTGATCTTAGAGGTCATGGAGATACTCAAACATCGAACGAAGAAGATTTATCCGCTGATACCTTAGCAGAGTAAGAAAATTTTTTAAATAATTACAAACATAAATTACATATACCGTATTTTAATCAATTGATTTGGTTACCAGGGACGTTGCAGCTATTATAAAAGCTACAACAGAAAATAATCCTGTGATCCTAGTGGGACATAGTATGGGTGGTGCAGTAGCTGTTAGAGCCGCATCATTAATTACAAATTTATGTGGATTAGGAGTTATTGATGTTGTCGAAGGAACAGCAATGGATGCATTGGCATCTATGCAAAGTTTTCTAAGATCTCGACCATCTAGTTTTATTTCTATTTCTCAAGCTGTGGAGTGGTGGTTAGTACCATTTGATTTTTACAAACCATAAAGTAATTATATCTCTCTCGTGTCTTTCATGTAGTTTTTGTCAGTTAACAAAATATGCTATTCTAAGCACATTTTTCAGAAGGAAGGCACATTTTTGGATGATTCTGTACAAACTAAAATGTTATTTACTTCTTTAATATATTACATATTTGTTTTGTATAATCAAAACCGAGATTGTAGAAGAATATCTCTAATTATCCACATTTTAGTGTACGAAGTGGCCAAATCCGTAACATACAATCAGCTAAGGTGTCAGTTCCTGGACAAATTAAAAAGTTAGTACAGTATACACATATCAGGTTCATACATCGTTGACGCTCTTTTCTTATTCTAATATGTTACATTTTATATTGCTATAGCATCGAAACTAATAAACTAGCCACTCATGATATCGATTTGTTATCACAATCGTCATGCGAATGTAACTCAGAGACTACGATTCCACGAGAAGATATTATTCAAGAAGAGGAACCAATAAATATGCCACCACCACCTATTCCAACAAATACTACTGCTACTAAAAAATATGTTTGGAGGATAGATCTATCCAAGACTGAACAGCATTGGTTTGGATGGTTTAAGGGTTTGTCAACGGCATTCTTAAATGTGCCAGCTCCGAAAGTACTATTGTTAGCCGGCGTCGATAGATTAGACCGCGAACTAACTGTTGGACAAATGCAAGGTATTATTTACAATTAATGTTAAATGTTATAATAAACATTTATAAATTTTGTTAAGATCATATCTCTTTTTTATTAGGTAAATTTCAAATGCAAGTACTACCAGCATGTGGACATGCGGTACATGAAGATGTTCCAGACAAAGTAGCAGAAGCAATTGCTACCTTTATGGTTAGACATAAATTTGCGGAATCAGCATCAGATTTCCCACGGTAAATTTAATTTATGAACAATTATAATTAATTAAAGTAAATATTTTGTGTAATATGATGTGTATTCTCACATGGATCTATCATTTTCTGTATTCGTTTCAGAACATTTCCTGCTTGTTAGGATTATATAAAAAGGTACCTTGTTAAGTAACATAATTACAAAACATTCAATGAATTAGTTAAAATGAGCGTTTTATTTATTTAAAAAGGATATGTTCACAAAATATATATAACTACATGTGTAAATAAAAACATTTTCTTGACAAGAAAAATAAATTTGTTCGACATAAAAAATGTATTTATTAAAAATAAATTTGAATATGTTTATACAAAAGATGTAGGTATGTATATATACATGCATACATATACACACACACACACACACATATATATATATATATATATGTGTGTATGTATGTATGTAAAAATTACGGTAGTACACGCAACGTATCAAATAGAGTACAAATATCAGTTTGCTGTGTTGAAACACTATGTCCTTAAATATAAATTTATTGACAAAAATAACGCTACTTTTATAATATAGTAACATTAATAAATTTTTTTTTTTTGAGATTTTCAGTTAAAATACTTCAGCTTAGTTTTGAAATTCCATATTTGAGCATATGTAGGACTTTGCCACTAATCAAATGTAAAACCACTTAAGTTTTTTACAACAACACACGGAGCTCCTGCACGACCAGCATGTAAGGGTGCAACCTTAAAATATATTATTTTGTAATGCAAAAATATTAGTAAAGTTTTCTTAAATATTTTACTGTTAAATATTTATGTAAATTGATTCTTACCGGTTCCCATTCATTAAGGTGTGGAACATATGCTTCGACAAGTGTGAGATATTGTTGACCATCATAACCCCCTACTGCCATAAGTCTATCACCAAGCACACACACACCAACTGCATCTCGCGGCACACTCATTGGGGCTACCATAGTCCACGTATCTGTTTTAGGATCATACCTAATAATTGTAATATGTATATATTAATCTCTGACTTTATATGTACGTCAGTGTCCGTAATATAATCAACCTATTATAGATTTATTAAATGTATAACCTTTCGACACAATCAAATCTGCTAGCATTAGGATTATTGGAAGGTGCATCATGACCACCCAATGCATAAAGACATCCATTTACTACTCCTACACCCACACCACCTCGTCGCTTTGACATTGGTGCACATGGTGTCCATTTATTTGTATGTGGATCATAACATTCCACAGTATTTAAACATGAACTTATATCTCTTCCACCTACAGCATACAGTCTGAACATATGCATATAGGGTATATAATATAGCAACTACACACATACTACATTATTTAAAAACTTACTTATCATTTAAAACAGCAACACCAACTGTGGATCTTTGTATAGACATAGCAGAGACTGAACTCCATTGACGTGTAGCTGGGTCCCACCTTTCAACAGTATCAAGGAAGCTCCAACCATCATGACCACCAACTGCATATAAAGGTCCTCCTAACACAGCTACTCCTAATCCATGCCTATGAATATTCATGGCTGGTAGTGTACTCCAAGTGAAAGTTGAAAAGTCAAAACATTCTACTGTATTTAATGTTTTTAACCCATCTCGTCCACCAGCAATTATTAACTTTTTATCAACAACAGCAGCACCAAATTGAAGTCTTTTACCACTCATAGTAGCCATAAATTTCCAAGCATTATCACGTAAAAAAAATGCATCTATAGAAGTAGCACCTAACAAAAATAATAATAAACCAATTAAATGCATATTTTACCATTTATTCTAAATGCATTTACCCTTATTAGCATCCATTCCACCAATAGCTAACATATGACCCACAGTGGCTTTCCTAGCTTTTGTACGTCCAGATTGAAGTAATGGTCTACGTTCAGGTAAAAGATGATACTTAAGTGCCTCCATAACCAACTCCTGTGCTACTCTTTGATCTTTGAATATTTCATTGCTTTCAATATTATCTGCAATAAACTATGTAATAAAGTTATAAATAATATGATAAAGTTTATTTGAATTATTATATAGCTTCTACACATGCATAAAAATGTTTAGCTTACTGCAGGTGATAATAGGGGTAACTTTACAAGGCTCAATAACTTGCTTGCATCTTTACATCTATTTTCTGGATCATATTCCAACCATGTCATAAGTGCCTGAAGATAATAGCAGCAATGTTTATAGTTACATACATTAATCGGACATAATTTTTAAAAATTAAATTCTTTAGTTATATTAATATTTTATTTACATGTACATAATGGAAAATCATACATGAAAAATAGTTTCTTCTGACGGAACATTGAGATCTTCAGACTCTAAAAGTTTGGCAACATCATTGGCAGATAATAATAAAAATTCTTGATTTTTTGTAACTTCCATAAAATGTTTTGTTGTGTATGCATGAGCATGTTCTAACAGATCTGAGCAACCTTGTGTATCTGCAAACATCCTTATTCCTAAGCAATTACTTGGATGAAGTTGTTTTCTAAGAAATTGACAACAAGCCTTAACAACTGGATTTAATTGTAGTAAACATGCTGTTGCTAAAAGAGTTTCTACACTATCTTCTCTTAATTCTATGCAACCTATGTTTAAAAATATAAAATTCAGTTTTTCCATATTCATAAGTGTTTAAAATAATCACATTGCTTTTTATAAAATTATACCTGTGTAACAATAACAAACCAAAGTCCATAATGCATCTCCATCTACACCCATTAATTCGACTTCATTTTGAGCAGATTCTCTCAACGAACTAGTAAACATGGCAGCAAAATATTCTGAACTTGCACTAAGTACTAAACGATGTGCAGGAAAACGCCTTTTACCTAAATAAAAAATAAAACAGTATTTCGTATATTATTTAAATAATTATAGGTCTCTTGCATTGATTTAAAATTGTATGATTTATTGTTTAGTAATAAATATCATTTAAAGACAAAGGAATCCATTATTTACCTGCAATTAATATGACATCTGTCAATTGTTTCTCGTGTAAATATTTTTCCATAATTCTAAGACTATTTTCCGCATGCTTTGACATACGAAAATTTTCATCTTGTGAAACAGAAATACTGGATACCATACTCGAGATACTATGTTCACTGGCAGACGCTTCTTTGTTTGAAAACAGGAATTCATGCTCGGCTTTGTTTGATCCTGCTCCGGTATGGCTTATTCTCGACATTTTTGCGCAAAATGGTTTTGATAATTATTTTTGTGAGAATACCACGTTTAATTTCCCTAAGGCACTTTATTTCGTAAAAGTAATTTAATTTTCATGTGATCGACACTGCCGTACACTCAAGTTTGACAATAACAGAGTGTTGACGCCACGCTTCACCTTGGCAGTTCAAGATGTAAAATTGGATGTAAACAGTAAATCGCGTTTAGGTACGGTCAGTGACCAGCTCTGTTCGTTTCTTGGGTCAGTGCACTCTGTTTACCAGTGTTCTGTATGAGATGAATTCGAATAAAAAAGACTAATAATATATTTGAAATCGTAATAAATGACCCAATTTATATTTAAAGTTATAATAAAATTGTACATTTATGTTTCTTGCGAACAAATAAAGTTACATTTTCTCTTTCCTTGAACAAGGATAGAATGAAAGTGAGAGTATCTATTTCATAATAAAAAATACATTGAAAAGAAATGTCAACAGATTTGTACATAAATTAAAAAATTTATTAATATCTGAACTTACTGATATTATTGTAGTGGCAAATTTAGAGCTTGTAAGTGATTCATATATACAACTCTTAAGTATATTTTTTAGGTTATATTATTTCAATATTTTATCGTATGCTAAATAATATTTAAAAGTATGTATTGCGATTATATGACTCAACGAAAATATAAATGGTTTTACATGCTTCATTCCAATATAATATAACGTAGAGGAAAATAAAGAAAAAATATTAAGTGGTCAAAAAATTATAATTTTATTTATTCTATATTATATTATAAATATATTTCATTATATAACACATTTTTTTTTACTGTTTATTTCTATTAAGAAAAACATATTTCATTTCGTTAATAGTATATGAGTATCAAGGTATCATATACAATACACATTGTATAAAATACAATATATAAAATTCCATAAATGTACAAATATGCCTAAGTTACAAATTTCAACTCATACCTAATAAAACCTAACAATACTCTACATTTTTTTTTGTTTCTTATTGTAACTCTAAATTTTATCATATTATTAGCAGAAATAACTTTTTCTTATATATACTTAGTTATATATTTAAGTAATTTTGCTTAACTTTTTAAAAAACAATTATTAAAAATTCATGTATATATAAAACTGTGTATTATTTGCATTATTTACTTTGGCATATTACAGTTTTGTTTATACATGTGAATGTTTCTTCATAAGAAGAGATCATGTTTGTATTAATGTATGTTCATACATTGCACTAAAATAGTTTTCGGCAGAAACGATTTTTCTAGAATTATTTTGGATACACTAATACTTTACATACATAAATAATAACAACTCAGTTATTTTTATTATTATTTATGTTTCGTTCCTATATGCCGAAATGTTTTATTATGCACTAACAAAGATAAAACGAATTATTTATCCTTATTAATATTTATATAAAATATAAAAATGGCACACAATTGCAGCGTTTAAGAAAAGAAATGCAACATAGTAAATTTTACAAAAAATACTTCATTCAACAAAATTGTCATTATAATACCGAATATCTGCCATGGAGCCATAATATTTATTTAACATATCATTATTCTTTAGTGCACTATATACAGATTGCTCCTCCACATGTTTGTTCTGATTGTGTTGAATATTCCGAACCTGATGTTGGGAATGACCCGTAAAAGAACTTTTTTCGACAACAACAAAAACGATCTAAAAGTTCTGATAAATCGCTGCTTTCAGAGTTGTCTCTATAAAGGCCACTAGACGCTTCATCTGTACATGTCGCAATAAAAGTTTGCAAATCATTTTTTGGGAAACCATCGCGATAATAGATTTTGATTGTATCATAAGCGTCCATTATCACAGAAATAAATAAACTTAAAATCACATATATAAACAATGAAATAAATGTATATAAGTATATTCTAAAATACCACCATAGCATTGGTGACATAAATGATGTTGACGAAAATGTGGCAAACATGTCATCCCCATTAATGAGAGCAAAGAGACATTCGGAAGTGGTGGCGAGTGATCTAAATTTCATATGATACGGGCCTAAAATTAACCAGCCACAGAATGTGAAGCCAGCATAAATAAGAATTGCACATATTAAAAATCGTGCTACCTTAGGAGCAGCTTTTTTCAAAGTTAGAATTACGACGTTGTACGTCTTAAAGAAACCAAGGTATCTTAATACACCGAACCAAACGAGTAAATTTCCCGTACCGAGAAATATGCTGCAGATATTCCAATGATCACTACCAAATTGTTTTCGTTCAATTCGTTCTTTTACAGCTGAGCCAATGATAATTAAAAGATCATTAACGATAATCATGACGTACCATAAATTTAAAAATTCTAATCTTCCTTCAAGGCTCAATGTCTTACCATAGGCATTTTTAAAAAACTTCATGGTTTCAAATTTTAATAATTGTGCTCTGTATATAGCTCTTGAGCATAAAGCGAGAGATGTAGAACAAATAAATATTACAAATACATTTAACAATGTTCTTAAGGTCGATTCAATACGACTATCTGTTATATAACGTGTATCACCTTTACATTGCAGCCTTTTTGGTTCAGTATCTAATGAAAGTAACATTTGACCATCAAAATCACGATTATCAAAATGGATTTTTACAATAAACTTATAGCAATCGGGTGGTGTCATAGATCCTGCAGCCTTCAAATTGACTGTTTTTAAAGCAAACATTAAATGAGCTCTAACAAGTGCCGAGAAATTTACATTAATGTTTTGTTCTGATAATAACAGCTCTATGGTACCAAATTCATTATGAAACTGGTGGGTTATATTTATGCAAGTTTCTATGATTTCTTTATCAAAAACATAACTTTCATTAAAACCAAATATAATACCTTCTTTATATTGATACAAACATAAAACAGCTGGACTAATCGAGTTGTTTTCGGCAGTATATGAATAAGATCCAATTGCATTACTAAGATTATAATAGCCATCTAAAGCATAATCAATTGTCCTATAGAAATCATCTCGTTTATAAATTGCCAAAGGACCTGTTACAGGTGGATAAGCTGGTACCTGAAAGTAAAAATTATTAAATATATAATATAAAGAAATTTTATATTTATTAATTAATGTATTTCAATGTCAATAGTTATATCGGCATTATTTAAAGAAATAACTGCTAAGTAACAGGTTACCTCTAGACTGGAGTCCCATCCTCTGAGAAACAGATGCGAGAAAGCTATTCGATTATCCCAAGTATAATTTACATGTATGTAGTTGTTATGCGCAAATAGGCATAGTTGTATCGTCACCAATAAAATTTTAATGAGTTGTACAATGAATTTATATGGAAAACGACGTTTTGCTTGCCATTTTTCAATAGGGTTCATAAAAAAGAATTTAAGTTTTCTACGCATTTTTTCTTCAGCAAATAATGTCATATTACAAACTGGCTCGTCTGTTATAGTTGATCGGCGATGACTATAAGCAAAAAATATAGGCTATTTTGTAATTTAAGTAAAATATACCAAAATGTTATGGTAGCACTTCTATATTTAATGGATTCGGTACAACCGACTCCTTCAGACCATGGAATTAACGACAACAGTATTTTTTGCTTATATACAGAAAATTTAAAGAAATACATTCATTACTCTATCATATTAAGTGCTTGATTATTCGCTCAATATAGATTATTTGAAAGTAAATAGTTTTTAAAATGTTTTATACCTTGTTTTATCTGAAGGACGTTTTATCTTCTTCGTGACATTGAGTACAAGATTTAAAAAAAAGTATAGATTTTATTACCACTAACTGAATTTAGCGAATTAAAAATATTTTCGGAAAAGTACTTGAATGATGATATTACCGTATTTGAGAAATATGATGTCAAGTATAATATTCCACGAATGATGAGAAATTATAAATAAAAATGAAATTGCGATTACTGTCACGAATGTATCTACAAATAGTGCGATAAGTTTACGAACCTTGGACTGATTGTATGTTCTTTAAGTCGTTGATTTTCACCAGCTTGTTCATCTCCGCTGTCAAGTCCATTACTCCAGGAATGATTTCTAAGTATGTTACCTCTGGATTCTTCCCTGACATTTCTTTTTCGTGACTCTGACATTTCTCGTTCGGATCTCGTTTTTTTGGAACGACAGTCAGATTCAAACTATTGATCAAAGATGGTTTATCCCGCGGAATTGTCGTCCCAGTTTCCGATGGACGAAGAAAGGGCAAGCTGTTCACATATGTTGATCTGCGTAACAACACAAGTAAAATTATAACGTGACATTAGTTTCCGCCGCGGGATCATATTTAGCGTAATGTAAGAAAAGCAATGCTTGTAACGTACTGATTTGTAATACGCAATAAAAGGCGATTGCAATGATTTCACATCGTTAACAACGGCCATCGTTGGCCATCCAATTCACGCACTCAGCTTGACTGATTGGCGCGCTACTTCGGCCATTTGTGAAACTAGTTGATCAGAGAGTGGGGATAAGTGATTGGGAGAGCGCTAATTGTTCGATGACGAAATAAAAGTGTTGATCGCAAATTTTCGACGTCACGTTTTTTATACTTTTATAAGAGTGTATAACTTTATCGCGTATAAAAGTGAAATAACATGGAAGTGATAAAAAGCGGATAAACAAAATGCTTGCAAGGTTGGTAAATGTTCACCGATCATTTCTTTCGACTACGTCGAAAAATTTAGCCCGATCTATCGTATATATTATCCAGAACCTATATAATTAATCAAACGTAAAGATTTGATTTTACTTTCGTATCATACCTCTCTCTTTATACATAAATACATACATGTATATAATAGGAAAGCAGTAGTTCGCATAGTAAAAGTCTAACGGTAATTGGTATTTATGTTTAATGTAGCTTGACAAGAAATTACCCAGCAGCACTTTCTTACCCAGCAGGCACTTTCCCGCGTCTTAGGTCGGTTTGTAACAATGGCGGAACTTGTAAACGTGAGAAACCGAGTCGACGCAATCAATTATCAAACGCCGAGGAAACAAGAGTACAATTATACGGGGAAAAGGAATCACGCGATATTCAAAGGTAAGTGGACAACGGCATTTTTTTCTTTTTCTATGTTACTCGCTGTTCGCGAGTAAAATGAACCACGATATGTCGCTGAGCAAAATTCGAAGCAAACGAAGCGGGATCTCAAAGCGTGATCGGCCGATGGAATATAACGTGATCAATTACCAGAACACGAGTGGAAAAAGGGTATTTCGTTGTCACGATAGCACGCGGATGCTCCGCGTGCAGTGATCGAATGACAAGGGGGTGGTGCGCGCGTTTCGCCATTCGCGGATCGGCGCGCGTTGTCGGTGCACCTTCTGCGCCAGCGTATCAGGTTTCGCAACACACACGAGTGGTGCGTCCTGCCGCGCGCGCCAAGTGCCAAGGAGAGGAAGCGCAGCGACGGAGCCGAGCTAAGCTCGGCTTTCCTCGACCGACCGTAGGCGCAGTCTCTCATCGTCAGTCTTTCTCGTCTTCAGCTTCGAGAGAGCACGCTTTCGGGGTCAGATCTGTCTTGGAGTGTGTCAACCTCGTCTCAACCCTCAGCTGTCCTCGGTCATTGACCCGATACATCGGCCCGTTCTCGCTGTTCACGCGATCTCTCACGGGGTGCTGTGTGCAGTGTGGTCTCGAGAAGTGTTCTTTGCGGGGTGCACTCGGTATCGTCGCACAGGCGAGAATAAACACAGGGATTTCGTGCGCATATACGTTGTTTCCCCTTTTTCCACTGGTCATTGTCATCTCGTTATATATCGCATCTCCTCCCCCCTCTCCCTTCCCTCTCCGTACTTCATTGTTTTCACGCATTCGCTCGCCGCTGATTCGAGTCGCACCGCGCGGCTGTACACGAGACGAGTCTATCAGAGAAGCGTCAGAAGCATGGTGGATCAACAGCAGACGGACCAGCAACAGGAAGCCGTGCCAAGCGTGGTGGAGTTGAACGTGGGCGGTGTATTTTACACCACCGCTCTCACCACCCTCACCCGAGAAGGCGATTCTCATCTGGCCGCTTTGTTTTCGGGGAAAACGCCGGTAGAGAAAGATGCGAAGGGGAAATATTTCCTGGACCGTGACGGGGTACTATTCCGTTATGTCCTCGATTTCTTGCGCAATCAGGCACTGGTTCTACCGGAAGGGTTTCGAGAGAAGGAAAGATTGAAACAGGAAGCGAATTTTTACGGTTTGCCCGGCTTGGAACGTGCCATTGTGGAGAACGGCAAGTCTTCCGGTTCCTTGACCTCTTCCGGGAAAAGAGCATCCGGATACATAACGGTCGGTTATCGTGGAAGCTTTGCGTTCGGTCGCGAGGGTCTCACGGATGTAAAATTCCGGAAGCTATCGAGGATTCTTGTATGCGGCCGCGTGGCTCTTTGCAGGGCCGTGTTTGGGGAGACTCTAAACGAAAGCCGGGATCCGGACCACGGTACCACGAATCGTTACACCTCCAGGTTCTTCCTCAAGCACAGCTCCATCGAGCAGGCTTTCGACATGCTTCAAGAGCAAGGTTTTAAACTGGCCGGTAGCTGCGGCTCTGGCACAGCTGGCGGCAATTCGGAACAACTGAAACCCGGAGTGGATTCCGAAGAGAATCGTTGGAATCATTACAACGAGTTCGTTTTTGTTCGCGAATAAATAGCATACTTCGGTCTTCCTTGGTCTGAATTAGCTAAACGAGTGGGCTGTTGAGAATAGTCGATGTCCTTTTGACGCGATCGACGAAGATCCAGTCCCAGCTTTCAAATGGAATTCTCCGATTTTTTCGTCGACGTCGACGACACAGAGGAATTGCCTTCCTGAAGACTTTCCTTTTCGAACTGAGATCGCAACCGGTAGGGTAAAGAGTAGATGAACTTTTTTCGTCGTTGCGCCACCACTGTGCATGTACTATTCAAATTCATTGAGCTATAATAGAACGGTAATGCCAGGAATTCCTTTTTCAAATGTTCTTCGCTCATTTCTTCCACGAATAGACCTGGAAAGGATGTTGACGGTAGAGGCACGTAACGTTCTCACTATTTGAATGAAGTTCGTCTGCAAACGACGAGGGGATCTTTGTTGAAATTAGCAGACTTGTCTCTAGCACGTGTATTTCAACGCGGTGTTGAACGTCGGTCGAAGCAGTTCGGAGATGAAACAAGGCCGGGTTCATCTTGCTTAATTCTGCGGTAATTGGCAGTAGTACAAAGACCAAAGAAACTTGGAAGACGACGGAGGGTATTATAACACTGGAGCGTCGGGTTTTTAGAAGTTTGTTTCATGGTTCGACTAGTCGAAGAGGAGCGTGAAAATTTCATCGACTCGAGAAACAAAGGCTTAAATCGTAAGAGTCGAAGAGTCGAACGCAAAACGTGTTGGATAACGAAGAAAATCGATGTTTGATCGTCAAATTCAGAGAAAGTTTTAAACGAAAGCCCTTTCGATCTTTTTTCCCCGTTTCTTTCTCGAGATTCAAATGTATTCACCACGCATCTACAGTTCATTCTTCGCGCGTAACCGTTCGTCCGCTGAATACTATATTATTCCAGTTTGAATCGAAAAAGTTTCGCTTCGGGAAATATGATCTAGAAGTTCGGCATTGACGATCAGAGACTCTTTGAAAATATTCTCCGCTTTCGGTATTGTTTGAGAAGAACCGGCGGGACGTCTCGAAGGGGCAGAACGAGATGCGAACTGCGTTCCACGCGTTTCTTCCGATTTTCGCTCGATATCATATCATCGATACACCCCGAAGAGGGATCTCCAGGGAGAAACATTAACGAGACCAAGTAGCGTAAACCAATCGATAACCCGATGTGTCTGACATTGAAATTATTTTCAAAAGGGGTAAACGAAGCTGTCGAAGAATCTAAGATTTAAGGATTAACAGGGTGTAGACCCGACATTTCTCTTCCAAAGTATCACGATAACGCAACTCTCGTTCATCTCTATCGATGCATACTATTGTCATCTCGACGAGCTGAAAGGAAAACGGGAATGATGGATTCAAGATTCAGCTTCAAACAACGCTGGTCGACTGTTCGAAGTTGAACTTGATAATGGACAGTTTGCTTGTGTCGCACTGGACCGGGCCTCGAGTGTACGTATCGTGCAACGTAGATTATGTGTACGTACAAGCCAACAACGGTGTTAAACACGTGTTTAAGCGGCTCGAATAACGCGTATGTTGAACGCCTCTCTTAAACGATTCTTTGTTAGATTCTTATTAAAGATAATATGCGACTGGTCTTCGTTTTCGCGTGCATAAAGCTGTACGGTGTAAGTAACACAGGAACACACAAAGCTTTCGACGTTGTCGTGTCGCGTGTAGTATGTCTGGCGCATCTCTTGCAACACGTTAGGCGGAAATAGTTGCAATTTCACTCGTCACAGTGAATAATCTAGGTATTCTCGTGTCTTTCACCGCGTATAAGTCAAAACCGATCGAATTCTCCTCAATTCGGCTGGAAACCGCTGGTCGTCTTAAACGGTTCGATTAATTCGCGTATAGACCGGGCAACGACAAAGTTTTTCTATGGAATAAGCTGCGGTTCGATTGTTTACTGGTGGGAAAACGAGTAGGATGAAACTGCCGTCGGCGACGATGCGACGGACAGACGAGATTTGAATTCTCTCACGAGTTTTCCTTTCTCGTTCGTGGAAACAACTTCTAGTTAAAGCAGACTAGACAGACGACCAAATTCTCTAATTTTACTTGCCATTTTATCCGGAGACGGTTATAATTAGCTTTTGGTATCTCGACATTCCGGTAAAAATTCAGAGTTAAAAATTCTTCCCCTTCGGACGATTTAGATAATTAATAGAGATAGCGATGCTAGCGACTAGCAAGTTGGCCGATGAAAATAATTCACGATAGATCCATCGGATCGCAGAGTTGTCAGTGTACAGATTTTTCCGCCAGATTCTTCCGGAGCCTCGGCAATCTTTCAGGATAAACGACCGCGATCGTGTCAAGATTAAGTAAACGGTTCCGCTCGAGAAAATTCAAATATCCAGTCTTAGCGGGGATGTGCGGAAAAAAGGGAGAGAAGTGAAGGAGAGGAGAGGGAAAGAATTCTCCCTATCCGACTATCTCGCGTGTTTTTCTGTTTTCTATATCAAACTGAAGGCGCACAGTTCGAGTTGATACGGTTTCTACACGACCGTTTTTCCCGTAGCGAGACAATCTTATCGTCGACTCACGCGAACATAGATTCCTTTCTTCCGGCACACTAGTTCTTATTAGATTCCGAATAGAAATATTTACGACGTCGTGTTGCGTTTGCTCCAAATCGACCGGTCGCGACCACGGATGCGAGTATCGACGTACGTTCGTACAGACATCTCGAATGGACTTGCAAAATAGCAGGCTATAACGTAAAAGCGTAACGCAGCAGTGTGGTGTCGCGAATTCGTATATCTCCAAGTCAAATATCGTCGAGGAGAAAAAGGAGAAGAAAATAGCGATCCACGCGGTTGCCTGTTGATCTGTCATTAACGTATTCGCGAAATAAGCCCAAACCCTGCGTACTCTTTCTCATTAAAACTGTCTAGTTCTATAATATTTCTAATATTTCTCATCCTTCCTAATCGTTCCTTTTTGTCAAATCGCAAAAGTCGCGTTGGAAGCACAATTCGGATAATCGGGTGCAGCGCATATGTAGCTGAGCAGCAAATGCGTCCATAGATACCTCCATCGAAATGGACGTATCCACGGGCGAATTTCGCGATTCGTTTTCATTTCAATGACACGTTTATGGAAATGCCAGTCGTTCGATCTTGGACAATTTTCTTCTGCCTCGACTTTCTTCGACTTTACACGGTATTCCTGATACCGCCAGTCCGGCTCTATTTATAAAATAGCGCGGTGGTCGTTGAGCCATTTGGTTCAAGACGCGAGCTTTTCATCCGGAATATTGAAATTCGGCGGGAGCAAAGTCGATCTTTTGTGCTCTGACAATTGTACGGTTCACTGATAACATGGCCGACGTGTCAAAGGGCGCAGAGCCACGGACGATCGGTGCCAGGAATAGCTGGAATTCGACAAGCAACCGCCGATGTAAGGCACGGTTCGCTAGATCGCGAAAGCAGTTAGCCGGTCACTTTGCGCGAATGTAAAATGTCAGTTGCACACTGTCTAGCCTCACGAGCATCTATGGTGATCGATGAAATGATACGCGTGCATCAAAGATTGTTTCAAACGTCACGGGGTTGGTCTTCCCAGGATCGCCTTTCGAACCTTCGAATTCGTGTATTTTGTATCATGATCCTGATAGATGAGAAACGTTCGCGTCACAGGTACATCCAGGTGCATCGAGAGAAACGAATGTGGCATTGAATCGAGTAGAGGGAACTATGTTCGAAATTTGACATATCACTGTCGATCTTCTGTCAGACTTATCATAGAGTTAGGTGCTTTAAACATAGCGATTAAATTAGGACCTAGCGAGATGGACTGAATTTTTAGCGCGTGAAGTTTCCGAGAATACTCGATTTTCCTGATCATACATTACGACTAATTGCATTGGTTATCCATCGTAACGCTGTTTTTCTGGTAGAGATTTCTAGACGACTTACCTATGTTTGAGCTAACTTTGGGGCAACTCGGGATCGTTGGACGTAGAATCTGAAAGAGATTACGGGATGGAACTCTAAGTAGGTCTGTAGTCGGATACTTGGCAGGGAATTTCACGAATCACGAACGCAATCGGCCACATTCCTAATCTCGGTGTACCTGGCGTGTCGTGTCCACGTAGGCTCGAAGGGATCCTCGATTCCCGGAGTATCTCGATGGAGTATCGGCTACTTTGGATATCTCCTTCGGATATCTGACAACGCTTCGTGACTCGACGCGATGAACGATCGAGGATATCGAATCGATAAGAGTACCCGCGTGATAGGTGGGTCCTAATTCGTAGATTAGAAGCGGAGTGCCGCGGTTCCGTTTGCCGTGAAAGGAAATGAGACCCGAACGAGCAAATCTGGCAAACCGATCGAACGTATAACTGGTTTAGCAGACTACGCGGCAGGCACGATTCCTGGCGCGTGTTCATTCGAACGTCTCATCCGGGAATCTCTTTTCCTTCTGATCGGAATGGATTCGGCGAATAGAGAACGATAAGTCGAGTGCACTTTTGACGAACAAACGCGTTAAAACGTGAACGTTCGGGTCGGGCAGAGGGCCAGAATTTTATTCGAGCCCTTCGAATGTGGCGAAGCAAATCGTATCATTCGCGGATTCTCTTTGGGAGAAGTCACCGATCAAGCTTCTTTAGGTGGTATTTCGAGTGAGGAATCTCTGGTCGTTACATCGCGTCACGCGGTTCCTTCGACCCCTGGAATGCTTGTAACGCGTTAGATTTATGGTTTGTGAAATAAAAACGGCGATTCCGTGGGATATGAAGGGTCAAGGGTCTCGAAATTGAAAAACGCCCTCGTACGTTTCCATCCAGCCACTCATTGATCTTCTCATTCCATCCCGTCGACGTGTTTACGCGCAGTAGTATCGAGAATTAAAAAGCCGTACACGGTTTCGGATTTAACGGCACAGAAGGCTGAAGTTCGTGCTTCCCACTTATTTCCGCCTACGTGTTTGCCGACGCGAGAGTTCACTTTCGCTCGCGTTTGTTCGTCGAACACACGTACACGCGGCTTTTTAATGGTGTTAGGTAGCGTGTAAGACGATGCTACACTGTGGCGATACCGAATCATTGTACATGTATATACATAAATCGAGAGAGGAAAAATAAAGGGATGATACGACAGCGAGTGGAATTACTTTTCCTCGGGATCTGTCTCCCCTCTCATTTGTTTTCCCTTTTTTGTTTTCCGAGGATTGAATGTAAGCCGTATTGTGAAATAGGGTGGATGATAACGCTGGAATACTTGTATTACTTCCGTATATACCGCGAAGCAATTTGGAAGCGGATGATGAGGACCCACTTTCCATCATTTCCTTCGATATGCTTTTATTTCTGTGATTTTTTCAGTTGGAAATTTCATTATAATTTTCATCCGCAATCTACGTATGTTATTCGGATAATATTTCGTGAAGTTTAAATTTAAATTTAATTATGAGAGAAACGCGATAGATTAGGTAGTCAATTTGCTTTGCATAAATATATTTCTTTTAGCAGAATCTGCATATTAAAAGGTCTAGAAT